GTTAATGGCCACAGTAATTTAGTTGGTCACAGTCCAAATTCCAGAAGCCAAATTAATTTGTTTCGGAGGTCTGGCAAATATTCCATCTGCTCTGTTTGCATACAAATCGTTTATATAGCGTATTATTCTCGGTTAGCAGTAAAAGTCCCAAATTAGGGGTGGGTAGATATTTTCTTTGGATGCCTGGTAGAACAATTTCGGAGTGACCTTGTATGAAAGGGCTTCATGAAACTTCCAAATGATATACCAAGAGGCTTCACCACCAAAATAATTTATGCATCCTTGTCCCCATGCTATCTACATGCCCAGCACATTATGAGGTGTCGTGTAAGACTGACCAAGTTTCTCTTTTGCCCACAAGAGCCTTTAGAGGTGCAAATATTCTCGTGACAATTTAACTTTTAACACTTCCCTCAAAATAGAGACCACGTTCAGTATCAATACTATGCAGCTAGCAAAATTACTTGTTTTGCATATTCCTGTGATAAGCGATTATTTAAAATAGAACTGAAAAATGCGGTTTTACACCACGTAGTCTAGTAGAACATTATCGACGTTTCGAATGCGCCTGCTGCCTCCATCATCAGGTTAACCCTAGCAATTACTTCTGAAACGTCTGTAAACTTCTACCCGACTACACGGCGCAACATCCCAGAAGACATTAATCCTAATACTCACCGGCGTGAGAACTTGAAATCTCACTATAAATTTCCAAAGCTTATTCTACTGTTACATAATTGTATCATGAATCTCATTGTTATTTGTTAACTTTCCTAAATATACTTCATAAAGCTATCAAATGAATTATTAAATGTTGTAAGATTGTGTTATAACTTAGTTGGTGATACTGGTTAATAAAATATTAACATCATACCGCGGGCCACCTTTAGCACACGGCCCATAGTTCGCCTACTCCTGTCGTAAATACTGCACGAAGTCAACATTTTATTTTTGATACAAGAGGAGAAGGGAGTTTAATCACGTTGACATGTGGAGGTTGTAACGCCGTTGTGAGAGATCGCTTATTCTGTCTTTTTCCGTAAAGTCCTAGTCACTTTGCTGTCGTCTCTGACTGCCACTGGTTCGAAAATAACATCCCCGCTCTCCCGGACTGAAAATAACACTGCCACACGTCTCCTGTGGTCTCTACAGACATCCATCTCGACTCCATTATCCTCGTGCAAGTGCATAACATTTACATATCAGCGATACTTGGACATAAGTGTTCCTTGAAATTCATTTCTCAATTTAGGCTCACGAATAGTTTAGCTTCTGAACAGCACATTTATCTTAAACACAACTGTAATTTATGAAAATACTAATTGAACGCGCATCTGCCTAGCTCTTGTATCTACGTGTTATTAATAGTCTTATAACTCTTATTATTTATAGGTAAATATAGCAATGCTGACCGAAGAGACTATAATATTATTTATACTTCTTCTTCCTTTTTTTTATTTAAGCAAGGAACTGTTTCATATTTTACCAAGGGAAAGTGAGAATCCATCATTTCTTGTATGTGTGAGCACAAAATCCAGAGTAGCCCAATGCTTCTTTATTTAAGCTGCATTCACATGAGTTTATCGAATATTACACAGTCATTAGGATCTACACAAGAACAAGTTTTTTTTAAAAACTAGCTATTTACTATCAAAATTCTATACAAAGAGAACTGCCTCTAATGTGTATGAGACGCTTAGGTAAGAAATTTGCAGACTGCCGGTAAAAAGTAAATATCATTAACAAGAAGTGAAGTTTCTAGAAAGGGTTTAATATGTCGCAGATGATGCACTTAGTTATATTTCTATACATTCAGTTAGGTCTACATCCTAGGCAATAAATATGCCATTTTCTAAATGAAGGATGAAACTGGCTGTAAACCGCGTTCAAATATAGTTGTGCCTGTATGTGACGTCAATAAGAAAGAAGGATATACCATATCAGTAGACTTAAATACAACTACAGACTGTTGGACCGTATTATGGGTCAAAAACCTTTCAGTGTTTTCTGGAAAGTTGGGGGTTTCAAAGAAATCATGTGATACAGACGTGTATGAAACCTGTGAACCCGGAAGTTACTACGTTCAGATGTGTTAATTGCACGAACTGCATGTCATGAATGTAATGAATGTATCAACTGAAATTCATATGTCCCCATAATATCTCCAAGATTGTTGTAATTCTACTGGACCGGTTCCCACGAAGCATTAAAATTAATCGGGTGTTAATTTTGTTCCAAAAAGGTCCAATGTAACCTCGCTCTCTTTACATACGCCTCAACCTAAACAGTAGCTCATCGACATACAATTTAATTTCTACGCGACATGAAACATGATCTCATTACGGCAAATAACTTTCGTTTAAAGCATTCTTCGTTTTACGTTTTATATTTACTAGACGATGGATAATATCCAAGAAAATTTTTATTCAATTCATTCTTCGATGTTGATTATGTTTAATTGAATGCAAAGAGAAACAACTTACGCATTTTGCTGCGTAATATCTGTATCGTCGCTAGATTGTCTGATTCCATCTGAATGTCAAAATTAATGTTAACTAAACAATGGACATGAAACGTTAAATTTCACAGCTTATTGCTTCAAGTAACAAGACGAATTTGTCGTCGTTGCTTACGTAACACGGCAACGGAACCTACCACCAAATAGAGATTAATGTCGACAACAAGTGGGGTTTAGTTGCTTCATCAGTCCGACATCTGAAAATGTTTAGAAACCATTGCTTTAAATTAAGCCAATCACTACGTCAAGAGAGTAATTCCTGAAGCCACTGAAATTAACCTTCATCATTACTTTAATTGGAAAGGAAGTTATCAGATTAGGCCAGCTTGGTAGACATCCGTCTATTCTTTGACGAAACAGAATGCCTGTTTTCCTCAATCTGTAGGTTCTACTTAACTGCTTGGTGCGTTTGCCCCAGTTCTCTAAATGTGATCCAAACCATTATCAAAATTTCAGAAGAAATAAACCCCACCCACTATCTTCTCTCATTTCTTACCCCTTCTTTTCTTCCTCCACTAAACTTTGGGTTCTCACTCTTCCAGATATTCTATTATCATCCCTCCCACACAAGAAACTGTTCGGCCCTTTAATGTCGTACTTTCTTACTGGTTACCAAACGGAGCAGTATTTACGACACGTATGCCTGTTGCGTAAACATCTGCAGAAACTATTAGGTAGCCCCTTCCCAAAACAGGTCATACACTAGCACTGAACCACCCGTGAAGACCTCAAATCTACAGACCCTGCCTCACGACAGACGATGCTAACAGCGCTAAATAGCAATGTCAGTTCTAATTTGATCCTGGCTTCCGCTTGGTTTAACGGCAGTGTGTAAAGTTTTGAATTTATTCGTAGAGTCATGGTACTTCATTTTATATGCCGCTCACAGTTAATTTCAACTGCATGGGTAAAATCTGGATCGTACAAATATATCAGGTCCTTATTACAGTTGTAATTATGGCATGAACAATTGGCCCCGAGGATAAAGTTCGAAATGAGCAACAGTACCAGAAAACAGATTGCATGTAATTAATTTACTTTACTTAGCATGAAATTAATTTTACACAGTGTTTCCTATTTGTTTTCCAAGTGTGTACAGAGAGTACCATTTAAAACAAAGTTTCCGGATACAAGCCTTTGTCTTTGTCATGAGCTCATCGAGCGATGTAACAGCTGAAATACGCAGGCCTCAGAATACTGAACTCTGAAAGTAGCGGGTTAATTTACAGTAGAATACAAAACACAACTTCTAGGTATCACTGATTCTGTCATCACTCGGCACCTAACTGACAAGTATTCTGACAGACTCGTCACGGTTGCATCCTTTCGAATACAAAATATCTTACAGATTACTACAGGACAAATTTTATTATCGGTTTCCTCAATCGAGAACTTTACAGTTTAACCCTCCTACCTTTGCGAGGTCAAAAGTAATGCCTTAAATTTTATTATCAACTTCCGATATAAAAGATTTGTCCCTGATCACCGCGGAACGTGTTTCATGTGACGCGACATATTCTTTATATTATTCACAATTTACTTCTGTCCGGTCTTGCAAGTACAGAGTCAGAGCCTTTACTTAAACGTATCACTTCTGAATGTCATATATTTGTTGATAATTACTACTATATGGATGGGGTACGTGGACTTTACTTTAGGCACCATATGAGGATACAGACGTGCTCTTCTGCGAGCAACCTCAGTTCTGAAGATGGAGGCACCATGTCTCTCCAAACCTTTGCCACACAGCCAAAATATTTCAGTCCACAAGACTACCATCCAGCTTCACATCACCGTGAAAACTTAACCCCCACCCCCCACCCCTCTACACAAACACACAAAGAACTGGTAACATATGACCTCTCACAACCGTGGTGTAAAGGTTAAAGTACGTCCCATCCATTATTGTGCCTTTCTTGACTTAGTACCATGGAAAACCCATCAACGGCGCCTCGAGACAAGCAGAAACGTTGAGGTATAGAAGTATATGAACAAATTCAAAACTGCTATCACAAAGCGAAATCAAAGCGATGTCCAGTGCAATGCTTGCGGCATTCGTTATGTGTACGGTTTATTATGTACAATACAGAAATCTGCATTGGTTGGTGTTCAGCAGTCAAAATGACGCTGTCCTGAGAGATCTAATCCTTTAAATAGATTATATGCAATAAATAACAATGGAAAACTGTCAGTACTTGTTGCTACTGTGCATTAACCAAATATACTAACCGCAAGTGACATCTGAAATAGTTCCTAGACGAGCTTCGTAAAATAACGTAGTTTCTCAAGATCAAACATGATTGTGTTACTAGGTTCCTGGACTCGTCCATCAACAAGTAATCCGAACAGAACACACTGTTTCTTAAAGCGAATCATCGTGTTCTGCACGCGAAGGACATTGTCCTGGGCCGTTTCTGTACGATTATCTCGCCCTATCCGTCTTATGTCAATAAACTCTGAGCATGTTTTTGTTTTGGTGCAGAGTCCGGGGGCGCTGCATCACAAGGACGCGCTTGCCAGCGGCAGAGTACGGCAGCCAAGACGTCACAAGCCAAAACGCAGCTGACGTCACGAAATGGGCTCCCAAGCAAGAGCAATAGCGGCCTTCTACAAGAGGTCAGTAGACACCAAAATATATAGGCCCTTGCAGAGGTTGTTGACACTTGGCCGCTGTTTCAATATTTGTTAAACCGAAGTCAGCGTGTAAACAAAAACTTCTTGTCCTTGGCGATAGCATGGTATCATCGAAAATGCGAAAATATAATTCAAGCAGAGTCACTAATTTCCCGGGACTTTCAACCAATAGAAAACTAGGTGGGTGGAGAACATCGGGAATAAATGTGAAGACGAGTAATTACGTAATGTACTTCCGCTAATATGTCCTTTCTTTACTTTTATTTTTTCTTGTACTTACAATCTCCATCTTACATTTCGGGTCCTCACATCTACGAATATGAAGATGGCTGGCTTCTGTTGCGCCTTGTAGTCGGGTAGATATTGACGATTTCCATGAAGTAAGCAATAATCTCTCCTTTTGGAACATCGGTCAATACCTACCAGACTACACGGCGCAAAATCCTAGAAGACAGCCGTCTTAAAGGGTAAAACTAAGATGATATTTCCTAAGTAAAATAAAGTTTGTCCCACTATACGCCATGTAGGCGTTTGGGGTGAGTGGAGGTATAGATCCTCTCTTCCTTGACCTCGACACTAGATAGGGGTGAGTGGTCAGCATCACGCCCCGGCCGGCTTTACCCCCGGGAAAGGACCCCGGTACCCATTGTAGAGGAGGCTGGGTGGGCCCCAGAGCCGGTCTGGACGCAGAGGCTAGAGGAAAAATCCTCTGCCCCCGTCGGGGATCGAACCCCGACCGTCCAGCCCGTAGCTAGTCACTATACTGACTGATTCCTTAAGTTACAACACCGTTAAGACGCACAAGGCTCATTCGGTCAAAATGAAAACTGAAGCTCATACTTCACGGTGGATTTGTTCATAGCGATTGGAAACTTTGATCCCACCGCATGGCATCAAGAAAGTGAAAAGTTCCCAACGAATCGGGGCTGTCCAGTAGTTGCAGTGAGTTTCTTGGCGTGACACTGACTGCAGTAACACCGTCTTGCTGTGTCTGTGTCACAGCCACCACAACTAGCGCGCCTTTACAAATTCAGAGTGAGCCAGAATATTTTTGATAGCTTTGAAAGCCATAGCACAGAAGGGGAAGTAAGTCAGTGTTTTATTTTAAGTTCTAGCCACAACATATTTCTTGAGAATGTGTAACATCGTCTTTCGGGGATACGCCGCGTCGAATGTTGAAGGATTTTGGCCGTTTCGGCAAACGTTGCAGTCGACATCTTCAATGTTGAAGATGATCATCCTAACACACGTGGCTACAATCTCAGGAAATATTCTGCTTCAAGGAGCTATTTGGTAGACTACCATTACTGTAAAAGCGTTGGTTAGTTAACGTTCGTTCTAAGTAACAAACTTCTTGGTTCAGAGTCCTTCGTGAGATTTGTTTCTCTAAGGTTTTATTCATTACATAAATCAGCCTAGGAAACTTGTATAATAAAGTGCTTTTGTCTCTATGGGTTTGTGACTTTACACTCGGTTCACTCTTCCACGGACTGGGATTTTTGTCTGTCCGTTACGGTTTCAAAACGAGGAAGCTTGCACATTCGTGAACAGAGCTGAAATACGGAAGCTTCCCTGTATTCTTTTCCCTGTTAGATCTTCCTGTACCGTCTCATTTCCTCATATTTCACCCAAGTATCATGAAAAGTACTTCAGCAGTAATTAATGGACGTTAAGAGACAACATGCGAGGAATGTAGCAACCACCAGAGGCCTACACAGTTCATTCCACGGTAATCACACACAGACAATGGTTTGCCGCTGGCTTTTACATCCTCTTCAGCATGTTTCTTTGTTCTTAAAATATCTTTTATTTTAATTTGAAACTGGGCTTCCATTTATGTTACAGTCCTGTATGCAAGACCATAATAATAATATACCCCATACATTTCATGTTATTTAATACCATGAATATGATAATAGTATGTATGATTTGAGGTTTTCACAGCGGTGAGTATGAAGATTTCTGTCTTCTGGGTTGTTGCGAGGTCATACTGCCTCCGTTATTCATTGTCCTGATGACGGAGGCAGTATGACCTCTGAAACGTCGGTTAACATCTACCAGACTCCACGGCGCACCAACCCAGAAGACAGAAATCTTCATACTCATCGTCCTGATGACGGAGGCAGTATGACCTCTGAAACGTCGGTTAACATCTACCAGACTCCACGGCGCACCAACCCAGAAGACAGAAATCTTCATACTCATCGTCCTGATGACGGAGGCAGTATGACCTCTGAAACGTCGGTTAACATCTACCAGACTCCACGGCGCACCAACCCAGAAGACAGAAATCTTCATACTCATCGTCCTGATGACGGAGGCAGTATGACCTCTGAAACGTTGGTCAACATCGCCCAGACTACACAGCGCATGATAATAGTAGTTCGTTCCAATGTAAGAGAAGGGTAATGTTTAAACCACTGCGTTTAATGCAACATTTACGACACTATGATGTAATATTTTCATGCTGACACAACTGCCAACTTTAATTATTAAATTGTGATAAAAAACCTCCCGCACTTTCAAATATTGGCGTCACAACAGGAAAAGAATTATCAATTGCACTTGGTTTCTGAACTATTACCGTCTATAACTGTAATCCAGACTAATTTCGTAATTTCACTCCGGTATTTCATCGGATATTTATACGGGATGTAGATCAACAGATAAAGACGTCCCCGGATAAAAGTAAAATGCCATGAATATATGTAAGGAATGTAAGAATAAAGGCCTACACATTCTTAACCTCAACCTCATGACACATTCGCTTTATCCCCGCCTGAGTGGATTCCACGGGTTGTCTGGGTAAATACGTAGACGTCGGATACAGGTTCTGCAGTTTGTCATTAAGGGCCCTCTTCTCGCGCGGCCCTGATCTGCAGGGATTCCGTCACCGGAACCCGTCAGAACGCTACCGGATACGAGAAAACACGTGTTATGGCTTCGTACGTAAATAAGGTTGCATTCAGCTCTTCGCATGTATGTAATAGCGGTGATAAATTGACGAAGATTTTGATGTTCTGCACAAAGTCTGCAGATTGTCGGTCAAGTCCTATGTCCTCCTGCGTTCGGTGTAACAGCCATAGTCGAGTTTGTTATTTTTACTCTAAACAATTTTAATTTTGTTCCCATGAGAAAAGTAAAACACTTCAATTTCCTCCGTCTGAGTTTATTGTTGTTTGAAATTCCGTTCTGTGTCTACGACTGAGACTTGTATAAACCTTCTGAAGGCCGAAGCTCTTTTAATATTTAAAAATTTAGGTCTTACCTCAAAGAAAACACAACGCGTCTCCATTACAAATGTTTTTCGGTTAATGCTGTTTAGGGAATTGACCGTTGTTTATTCTCATAACATTCGAAACCCATAAATACATCTGCAGACAGAATTCTGGCTTACTGATTATTAAAGTAGATAGTGCATATAGTTACCACTGGGCTTTAAAACGTTAAACAGAGCTCCAAATATAAAATATCCCATATATTATAGTAATTTCATTGTGTTATGAGAGTAAATTTTTTTTCCGGCCATGATACAATGGAAATATAAATAAATATGAACACGACCTTTGATGAAGTGATCGAGTATCTTCTTAGAATCAATGACGAAAGCACAACTGTCCAGTCGAGGCCAGATCCTCGAGCTTACCAGTTACTTGTTACTGCAAAGTAACATCTGACATTCTGAGACATTGAACTGAGGAAGGACATATGGTCATGTCAGTGATATTTTCAAGTATAATAAATGACACATCACTTACACGGAATAGGAGTGACTCCGGTGCTGGTCAAATGCCTCCGGGTGTTCATTCCAACGACATTAGTACAAGTTTTACAAGACTCGTCTGGGAGCTTTTCTCAGCGTATGCCCGATAAATGACAGCACGTGAACAGACACTAGCATTCCTCTGAACACCAGGAATGTTATCATTCCTTTACGCACTTCCTTCGTCTCCTTGCCTTACCGCCTATCTGTTTTCCCTTTCACTTCCCTTATTTATTTCTGTATTTCTCTCCGTTTGCATTCTTATTTCTTTGAGCTTTCTATCTTTCCGTCGTATTTTTCCTCTCTAAAGATAAAGGCAGCATGTTTCTCCGTAACGCTGGTGTACATCTAAAGGCTTCGTGGTGCTGAAATGAGAAGACTGTCATCTAATAGCATGTATAATCTACGGCTGAAGCCTAACGTAGCTGCCGAGTGGTTAGCACTCCGCATCGTATTAGCAAAGTAACGGGTTTGAATCCCGGACAGGAGACCGGTTACCCTGACGTTTTTGTCTTGCCGTTCCCTTTAAATAAATTCTGGGAGAGTATTTTAAAATAGGCTGCGGACGTTTCCTGTCCCATCCTTTCCCCTTCATAGTCCATAATTTCGCCTGTACCGCCATTTGACGTTATATGGCCTGTGCATTTGATCGCCCATCTCAGCATAAAATACGCTGACCTAGGTGACACTTTCGATATGTCGCTATTCGGTTGATCTCTTGTATAAACGATACCACCACCTGCAGACACGTAGGCTAAAATATCGAGGACGTATACTTTAATGACTGAGCACTTCATGTAGCGTTCAGCCATGTGATCGTGTTTGCAGGATGAAGGAGTATTATATTTTCAAACGATTACCTTGACATTGCAAAACTCACACAAAAAAATATATAAAGTAAAGTAGTTGGTGGAGTATGAAGCGATTTAATATTTTATCAGATTCACAGAACAGTCCAGGTTTACAATTTTAATCACTCTTCATAATCTATTCCACATTACTTTTCTGGTACGTTCTTTTCCATCAGGCTGTGTGCGTACAGTTAACGGATACTGTTCTCATTTGCAACACAGTGATAGAAAAAAAAGTTTCGTATGGATGTATAAGTAAGTGCAGGAAGTTCCGACGTCATTGTTATCGTAAGTAAACACGTGAATGGCGCAGATGTG